GCAACAATGAATGAATGGAATTCCAAAATCTCTGTAGATGTTCATTGAAATGAAAAATAAAGAACCTAAATTTAAAAAAAAAAAAGAAGGGGTCATGGTACTAGTGATATTGTAGCCGATGTTAGATGGATGATGTTAGATCACATATTATAATGAATTAATTCTAAAAATAAATTATAATTACTGTTATAAATCAAAGTGTATGTGAAAAATTGTATCACATATATTCTTCCTAGCATTTTCCAGAATGTTTGAATTACCTGTATCAATAGCATTTAGTTGACTTACTGAAATCATTCATTAATTGCATCCGCATACCTTTAAAGTCCAAAGATTTCTTAAGATTATCTTTTGCCCTCTGAATGTCTATTGGATTTCACAGCATACTACCCTAATGTTTTACATTTTATTTTGCAGTGTTTTACTATTACTTAAAAAATTAAAATAGGTCTATATGGTGCCTACAGTCTATATTCTACAACTATATAGCCTAGGTATTTAAGAACTTGGTACATGTTGAGGTGAGAATCTGTATCTCTGGTACATTTATAAAGTTTACAAAATGGAGAAAAAACCTGGATAACGAAATTATGAGTATATATCACCTCTATATTCTACTACAGAATAATTCAACATACAATGGTAAACAACAACAAAATAATTTAAAGTACAATGCTAAGCTCAAAATCAAGAAAACAAAGATTCTCACCACTGGGCCAATTGGCACCATCATGATAGATGGTAAAGAGATTGAGATTGTTAACAGCTTTAGTTTGCTTGGCTTTACAAACAACATTCTTGGAACCAGCAGCCAGGAAATTAAAAGACATATTGCATGGGGAAAGTCTGCTGTCAGAGACTTCTCCAAAATACTGTAGCGCAACGATGTCAGTCTGGAGATTAAAGTGCATCTGATTCAGGCCAGGGTCTTTGCAATTAGTTGCTATGCACAGAGAGCTGGACAATGATGGGGTGATAGAAAAAGAATTGATGCCTTTGAGATGTGGTGCTGGAGAAGAGTATTGAATATACTGCTAAGCAAACAAAAAGGTTCACCCTGCAGAGGGTGAAACCAGGCTGTTCCTTGGAGGCAAGGATTCTGAAGCTTTATCTGATATACTTTGGATATGGAAAGGCGGGACTAGTCCTGGGAGAGGGATGTCATGCTTGGGAGGGTGGAGGAACAGTGCAGGAGAGGGAGACCCTCAATGAGATGGATTGATTCAGTGAACAGGGTAATGGGTGTAGATATGTCACAGACAGTGAGATTGGCCCAGGATAGAGTAGGGTTTAGGGCTATTGTACATAGGGTCGCTATGAGTCGCAGGTGACTTGATGACAAATACAACAACAACAATGCTAAACAAGAACAAGGTTGAGTAAGTTTTCATCTCTTCATGAATATGCTAAAAGTAGTTGCTCGCATGCATCACTTAACCAGTTTCCTTTGAAAGAAGGGAACAGGTCTTTTCAATAAATAGGATATTATTATTGTTATGTACCATCAAGTCAGAACTGGCTCATAGCTGACACTACAGCAGGTTTTCAGAGGCAGTAAATCACACAGGAACCAAGTCCACAGGAATCAAGATGTGATCTTGAATCAACTCCATCTGAATTGTATGATCATCTTAAGAATAGGTTTGAGGCATTGAACACCAGTGATCTGAAGACCAGATGAATTGTGGAATGATATCAAAGATATCATCCATGAAGAAAGCAAAAGGTCATTTACAAAAACAGAGGAGAAAGAAAAAAAATCAAAAAGAGACTCTAAAGATTGCACTAAGCATCGAGAAGCCAAAACTAAATGAAAACATGTTCAAAGTTAAAAGAGCTGTACAGACAATTTGAAAGGGCTTCTCAGGAGGACAAAGCAAAGTATTATAATGGAATGTGGAGAGAGCTGGAATTGGAGAATAAAAAGGGAAGAACTTGTTCTGCATTTCTTAAGCTGAAAGAACTGAAAACCAAATGTAAGCCTCATGTCCCAATACTGAAAGATGCTATCACAATATATTGAATGACCCAGAAAGCATCAAAATGGAGGGAATATATAGAGTCACTGCACTAGAAAGAATTGATTGACACTGGAAAAATTTCAGGAAATACCACATGAGCAGGAACCAATGGTAATGAAGGACGAAGTACAAATTGCATTGAAGGCACTGGCAAAAAATAAGGCCCCAGGAATCAATGGGATACCAACTAACTTGTTTCAGTTAACAGATGCAGACTTGGATGCACTCTCTAGTCTATGCCAGGAAAGTTGGAGGACAACTGTCTGCCCAACAGATTGAAAGATATCCATATTTGTTCCCATTGCCAAGAAAGGTGATCCAAGTGAAAGTGGAAATTAACAAACAACATCATTGATATCACATACAAGCAAAATGCTGCTGAAGATCATTCAAAAATGGCTGAACCAGTACATAGATAAGGAACTTCCAGAAGTTCAAGCAGGATTTAGAAGAGGCAATGGTACCAAGAATATCATTGCTGATGTTAGATGAATCCGTCCTGAAAGTAAGGAATACTAGAGGAATGTCTATTTGTGCTTTATTTACTATGCAAAGGCATTTGACTGTGTGGATTATGACAAGTTGTAGCTGACATTGAGAAGAATGGGAATCCCAGAGCCCTTGATTATGCTCATATGGAATCCATACCTGGACCAGGAGGCTGTTGTATGAACAGAACAGGGGAACCCTGTATGGTTTGGAATTGGGAAGGGAGTGCACCAGCTGTGTTCTATCTCCACACCTATTCAATCTGTATGCTGAACAAATCATCCAAAAAGCTGGACCCTAAGAAGAGGAGTATGGCATCAGGATTGGAGGGAGACTCATCAATAACCTGTGTTATGCAGATGACACAACCTTGCTTGCTGAAAGTGAGGAGGACTTGAAGCACTTGTTGCAGAAGATCAAGGAATGCAGCCTTTGGTATGGAAACAAAGAAAACAGATTCTTACCACAGGACCAATAGGCAATGTCATGATGGATGGAGAGGAGGCTGAAACTGTCAACAGCTTCATCTTGCTTGGATCCACAATTAACCTCCTTGGTACTAACAGTCAGGAAATAAGGAGACATATTGCACTGGAAAAATCTGCTGTTAGGGACCTTACTAAATTATTGAGGAGTAGTGATATCAGTTTGAACACTAAGGTGCATCTGACTTAGACCATGGTTTTCCAATTACTTGCTATGCATCTGAGATCTGGACAATGAATAAGGATGACAGCAAGGGAATTGACGTCTTTGAGCTGTAGTGTTGGAGAAGAGAACTGAACATCCCATGGGTGGCCAGGAGAACAAATAGATATGTCTCAGAGAGGGGGCAGCCAGAGTGCTCTTTGGAGGCAAAAATGACGAGACTTTGCCTCACATACTTTGGACATGTTTCTAGGAGGTGCTACTCTTTGGAGAAGGATATGATGGTGGGAAGGGTGGAGGATTGGCAAAGGAGAGGAAGGAGAGGAAGACCCTCAACCAGGTGGATTGGTATGGTGACTGCTGCAATGAGCTTTTGTGTCAGGAAATGTAAGGATGGTGCACGATAGAACAGGGTTCAGATCTGTTGTTCATAGAGTCCCGATGAGTCATACTTAACTTGACGGTACCCAGCAACAACACTAACAAATCACATGGGAGATTGCCCATCTTTCCATATGGAGAAGCTGAGGGAGCAGGTGCTGTGTGTCTTTGGATTGGTAGAATAATTCTTTACCACTAAGCCAGCCTCCCTCTTCACATATGTGCTGCTATAAATGAAATTTGAAAAACCTGTAAACAGAAGGAATCTAAGGAATGCGCATGAGAATGACATTTAGATTTTGCTATAAACCAGACTGAGTAATGAAGGAAAGTTCTGGCACACAGCCAATTAACAAAGCTTGAGATGTTGTTGTTTTTATGTACTGTCGAGTCACTTGCGACTCACAGCGACCCTAGGTACAGCAGCTCTAAACTCTGCTCTGTCCTGTGCCAATCTTATTGTCTCTGACACACCTACCCCCATTACCCCAGACACTGAATAAATCCATCTCATCGATGGTCTTCCTCTCTTGCACTGTCCCTTCACTCCCAAGCATGATGTCCCTCTCCAAGGACTGGCCCCTTATTGCAACATGTCCAAAGTATGTCAGATGAAGCTTCAGAATGTTTGCCTCCAAGGAGCAGCCTGGTTTCACCCTCTTTAGGACGAACTTGTTTGTTCTCCTAGAAATCCATGGTATATTCAATACTCTTCTACGGCACCACAGATAGTAGATGATATATTCAATGGGTTATTCCTCAGCTGTGCAACTTGAATTGACATAGAGCATCAGGACATCATTTCTGTAAATCTCTGTATATGTATTTCTAACATATTGCCTAGATTATTTATGTCTCTGATTTTTAGTGACTATGTTTTGCTTCTAGCACATTCTAGAAGAATTATTCAAGGGTATTCAAAGATGTGTTTACAAGATAAACAGTCACACACTGTAGATTACGTCTTACATATGAACACTATTTTTTTAAGTCACGACTATATAGTTTATAGGAATTTCTTTCTACAATCTTAGAAGAATCGTTGAATAATGCTTTGAGTTATAATATGTAAAAGTTTCCCTGCTAATAAATTTATTTTCCCCTAGAGACCAAACTAGCCATGAAGACAAATAAAGTCGGTACCCAGCAATCCTTTGTAAATATCCCCAAAGTAGTTGTACCAGACATTGAAATGGCAATAAGAAGGATGGAAAATGGAGCATGCAGGTAAATCCATTTGTTCTTCCCATATTTTTTAAAAATACTAGCCACAGTTTATAAATTTAACTGGGTTTAATCTCAATTTAGGGAATTGTGGTGGCTTCGTGCTAAGGAACTGTGCTTTTAACGCAAAGGCAAGCAGTTTGCATACACAAGCTGCTTCATGGGAGAAAGATGGACAGTCTCTTCCCATGCAATATACAGCTTCTGGAAACCTTCTAGAAGATTAACAATGACTTGGTTCCAATTCAATGACACACAACAACAGTCTCAATTTAACTTTATAATTTATAACCTTGAACTTTGTGTTTTATTCCATTGATTGTATTTATTTATAACTTGGGACAGCAAAAGTTTCATAACAAATGAACATATATTTTATTGTGTTCATTTTTTTCTTTTTTTTGTGTTCATTTTTTAAAAGCACCCATTAAAGGAACAGTGATTTAGAAAATTACTACACAACTTGGGAGAGCATTATGCTGAGTGAACTGCCTCAGTTTCATAAGGACAAATACTGCATAAGACCATGATTGTGAAAATAGAAGGATAACTAGTAAAATGTGTATGGGAGTTCAAAGAGGGCCAGTAGTGGCAGGAGAGGGATGAGGTTGGGATGGGAGGAAATCATATGGGTTGCCCAATTTGGTGGGTGGAGGGAGGGGGTAAAGGAAATGGGGAAAATCCAGCAGGGAGCCTGAAAGATGGGGTAATGATGAGAATCATTCAATGATTAATTTCGTAAAACACAGTGAATGGGAATAATTGTATGAAACAATGTGAGAGAAGGATAGTGCAAAACACAATTTATACGCACTTTTTTTGCAAACCTATGTAAATAATTTTTTAAATAGAAAAAAGCACCCATTAAGTATATAAGTCAAATATTTCCTTAGCCTTTCCTCACGACAGATTGCAAATCTAAAGAACAGTATTGCCATAAATATGTATGGAAAAGCACATAAGGTAATATGTTGTTGTTGTTGATTGCTGTCGCATCGAGCATGACTTATAGTGACCCTATGAATAAAAGGCCTGAAACTTTTCTATAACTTATGACATTTATCAAAGTTCATCGAGTTTCCAGAGGCATATTGTTTAGGAAATGGATTCTATATGCTAAAATTGTTTTGTAAGTATTCTTTAAAGTGGTTATTCTATTAAATAAAAAAGTATTTATGTGTTTAGTTTGGCTTTTATTTAAAAAGAATGTTATTATTACAAGATGACTCATAAATTGTATATGATAGCTTAAAATATGGACACCACATGTTTTATTTAATAAAGATTATCGTTACGTACTATCGAGTTGGAACCTACCTGTAGCCAACCCTCCGGATAGTTTTCAGAGGCAATAAATCATATGGGAAGAGACTTCCCATCTTTCTACTGCAAACCAATTGGTGGATTCGAACTAAGACATCAGTTGTCTCTTAATATATATTAACATCAGCCAATGCATTGAACCGCAGGAATGTGTAAGATTTTTATATTCATTCTAAACACATTTTACTGAATTGTGCATGTATTCTTGATATCACTTAAGTCTACATAAAAGTTATTTTGTGTGCTAATGTGAGAAGGAAAATAAAGAGGTAATTGGCAGCCTGCTGAGAAACACTACTCTTTGACAAGTAGATTTGTTTAAAATAATGAACTAATTTAGCTCTGCTTCCTGTTGGACTGTAGCTCATTTTCTGATGATGACGATGACAGTGCCTCTTTATATGAAGAATCAGAAAATGAAAACTTCTACAGAAGAAATAACTCACACAAGAAAAGAGAACCATCACAGAGGTGAGCCGTTTCTTCCATATTTCACTATTTGTTTTTAAACTATCAGATGAAAATTGCATGTTTTCCTCCAAGCAGGCTATCCAGCCACCACATAACACTTATGTAGGAACTTGTTATTTCTACTCCTTACGTTTTGTTCTCCGAGGAGAACCTGCCACTACCCAATGACTATTCACGTCATAAACACTCTTGATGATCAACATACCCGAGAGTCCTGTATCTCCATGAGAAACCTCTTGTCTTAGTCTTCTGATTTCCTGCTTCTTTCTGATCTTTCTTCCAGAACCTTAAGAAGCTTTATGTGAAAATGATTGGCCTTCATTATTTAAATGTTCTATTACTTTTGAATCTGTGTTCAGTGAAGAAAATCCTAGAGGGAATACGTAGAGGAGAACAGCTAAGAATCCATGTTGACATTATGTATAGTCAAGTACAACTCAGAACAATCTTACAAATAACAGATTGTTACCTTGCCCCGCCCTGCCCTTTCCTCAAGATCTCTGCCACACTGAAACCATTGCTACATCTATTATGCCAATCCATCCATTGAGAGGCTTCATCTCTTGCTTACCTTTATCTTTCCCAGCATGAGGGCCACCCTAGTTGCCCTTCCTCTAAGACAGATTTGTTTGTTACTTTGGCAGTCCATGGTATATTCAAAACTCTTCACCAACACCACAAAGATATTGATGTTTTTTTCCTGGTTATCCTTGTTCTTTGCCCAGTTTTGAGATAAATCCAAAGCAACTGAAATATCATAGTAGAAAATAAAAATCACAGTAGGAAATGACCTGTCCACAGACATTTTTGAAACAATGGAAGTTCTGAGGGGATATAAGAGGTACAGTGTTGGTACAGATCATATCTGTGAAAGATGCTAACTTCTCTCTGCGTGCATGCACCTGAGTGTTTCTCCTAATTCTCCTCTTTTTTTCTTTTTTCTTTAGATGACTTAAATTTTTTTAAATTTTATTTCATTATTGTGTGTGTGTGTGTGTGTGTGTGTGCGCGCGCGTGCGTGTGCATGTGTGTACCATCAAATTGGATCTGACTAATACAGAAGGAGATTGGCCCTCCTTCTACAGCAAAACATCTGGTAGATTTGGACCCCATGCCTCTGGGATTGAAGTGCAATTTCTTGCCACTAGGCCACCAGAGCGCCTTAATTTTTTTTAGTTTGATTTTAATGAGTTTGCATAATAGTTGCATTTTCCTACATTCATTGTCGTACATTTTTCCTCCCTCCTTTTCCCTTTCCTCTCACCCATGAATTTATCTGGTGGTGGTTGAGAATGTACACAACAAAACATGCAACAATTCAACTTCTACTACATGTACAATTTAATGACATCAATTATAGTCTTTGGGCTTTGCAATCCTTCTCATCCTTCTCCGAGTAGTTCCTTTTCCATCAACATAAAATTGTTTCAACCTAAAGTCCTATCTGATCATTCATGCTGCTCTTGACACTTAGATCCCATAAAGGTTGCTCTTAAAAGAGCATAATTTTCAAGACACGCACCTTTTATTAGTCAAGCTAAACTGTTGTTGTTGTTATTGTTGTTGTTGTCAGCTGTGGTCAAGTTGAGCACAACCCATAGTGGCTCTATTAACAAAAAAGGCCTGAAGCCTTTCTGGAACTATCGTCATTTATCAAAGTTCATTGAGTTTCCGAAGGCATGCTGTTTGGGAAGTGGATGCCACTTCTGCTTCCAAAAGCTAAACTATTGTTTGGTTTTAAGCAGAATCATGAGATATTTTTTAATGTAAATTATAAAGATTATCTGAGGACAGTTAAGTATAAGGGTTCACATGTCTCCAGAAAAACTGTAGTCCATGAGAATTAGAAATTCTGCTCTGCATTTCCTCATCTTTGGTCATGATTCTTCCCTGGCATCTTTGATCAAAATGTTCAATAATGGTAGCCAGGCACCATCCAGTTCTTACTATCTAATGGCAAAGGAGACACTTTTTCTTTGAGACAGTAAGTTCACATTCCATATCCACCTTATTTCTGTCTCTCCTTCTTCCTTGTTGCTCCGGAGAAGCCTTGAGTGGCTATTTGTAAACTTTTAAAACCCTTGGCCAATTAACTGAGTTGTCCTTTAAAATGACGCTAAACCTCCAAACTAAGGAACCAAATGCCATGAGATATTTGGTTGTACATAAGAAGCCTCAGTACCTTCTTTTATTTTCTTTTTATGTCATTGTTTCAAAGATATCTATTACACAGTTTTTGTATATTCAATTGTTTACAGGTGTAATTGTCTGTGGCAACTGTCATTTACCCTTTCTTTCTCATTCCTCCCCCACCCCAGAATGGTAACTACTAATAAACTTTGATCTTTATATAGAGGCCTTTGTCATTTTATATAGGTGAGATCATATAATATTTGTCTTTTTCTGTGTGAGTTACTAATTCAGAGTAATGTCTTCAAGTTCCATGCAGATTATAGCATATATCAAGACTGCATTTCTTCTGGTGGCTGAGTAGTATTTTATTATCTGTATGTATTATATTTTGTTGGCATAGTTAGCTGTTGATAGACATTTTGATTGTTTTTCTCTTTTTTTGGCTGTTGTGAATACTGCTTCCATGAACATTATATATAGGCCACTATTTGAGTCTCTCCTTGCTTTCCCCCTTGTGTACCTTGGAGTTGGAACCGACCCATAGCTGACCCTCCAGTGGGGTTTAAGAAGCAGTTAATTGCATAAAAGAAGATTGTCCATCCTTCTCCCACAAAAGAGCTGGTAGTGGCCTAGAAACATGCGGCGTTGGGACTGTAGCACAGCTTCTTGCCACCAGGTCATCAGAGCTACTAACCATTTCTAGGTTTCTTACTGCTCTTGTCTTTTCTCCTCTTTCCACTATCCCTGAGAATCTAAGTTTTCCTTGTTTGGCTGAGATTTGATAGTACTCAAGTTGGTTCACTCAAGACCAAAGAAGATACTAATTTTTTATATGAACATGGAAGACTAGGCCAGTAGCCTTCACTAATCACTTCGGTTCATGTCAGTAATGCCATGGAACACAAACTTGGAATCTGTTTCTGTAAATAGCCTAGAACACTCTATGGAGCAGTTCTCCACAATGCATGGGTTTCCATGAGTCTGAATTGACCTGACTGTGATGGTTGGTTATTTGTTTTTGGTTATCTGTATTTGAGTCACTGCACTGATATTTGGTAATCCATGCTTCTTAGAGCCTCTTGCTTTCCAAAATTTTCTAGGAAATATTTAGTTATGAGCACAAATAGAAAATAATTTGTACTTTAAGACTGGTAACCACAATCTCACCTCAATTAGAAAAGCAAAATTTAACAGAACAGCAAACATCAAATGCTGGTGAGTTTGTGGAGAAATTGGAACACTTATTCACTGTTGGTGGGAGTGTAAAATGTTGCAACCACTATGGAAGGCTGTATGGCACATTCTCAAAAAGTAGCAAATAGAAATATCATTTGACCCAGCAATTACATACTGGGAATATACCCTAAAGAAACCTTAACTGCCATCCAGGCAGATATATGCATACCCATGTTTATTGCAGCTTTGTTCACAATAGCAAAGAGCTGGAAACAACTCAAGTGCCCATCAACAAATGAATGGATAGAGAAGTTGTGATATAGTCACACAATGGAATACTATGCTGCATTGAAAAACAAGGAACTCATGAAATATATGCAAAATGGGTGACCATGGAGGACAATATACTGAGTGAAATATCTCAGTCACAAAAGGACAAATATTGCATAGTTCCAGTGTTGTAAAATGGGACTGGCATCAGGGTTGAGGGAAGACAGAGAAGGGGATGAATGATGTATACTACATTGAAACAGATGAGGGAGAGAACTGTTTAAAGGGATATATGATTGGGCATTATTGTCATGACAGGAGTCCAGAATGAAGGCTGTGCAGTGGAGTGGACTTGGGGGGAGGGATTGCATAACAATGAGAGAATTTTTCTTTTACTTTTCAAGTAGAAGAGTGAGTTGGTGGGGAGAGGGTGGACAGAGAGAAAAGTGCAACAATGAATGAATGGAAACCCTAAGTCTCTGTAGACTTTCATTAAAATTAAAAAAAAAAGGTTCAGTATTTTAAAGCACACCAGTAAATCTGTATCAATTTTAAAGAGTCTTTTATGAAGATAAAATAAAGATTATATAACAAGTTTTAAAAAAAAAAGAGTAGTAACTATAGACATTGGCTACATGATAACTGTTATGATTTTATTTTTTCATTTCTCAGGGAGCAGTACCTGCCTGGTGTCATTGCACTTTTCAATGTTAACAACAGCAGTAATAAAGATCAGTAAGTAAATTTACAATGGAAATTAAAGATTTATTTTATAGAAAACTAGTAATAAAATATGAATCTGTTATAGGTCAGCTATTTATTAGGCAAACTCTATAATGATGATGATACTCTATTATTTTGTTGTTTGGTAATTCTGGAAAAATGCAGTTGACTACATTAATTAAGAATAATGTTCGAAATCCCAGAGCCCGGTCTGAGGTGAGAAAAGGAAGGGAAGTAAATGCCTCGGGATGGCCTGATATGAAGCAGTTACGCCTCCAAGCCTCCAGAGCTGCTCTCTGGCTGCCTTGTGCGTCAAACGCAGGAGATGGTTGCAGTGTCAGGGATGGAAGCCAATGTGACCATTCCAATCTAGCAAAATAAGCCTCATGGGACAGCTCACACAGTGGTGAGTAGGATTGGAACCAACCTTCCCCTGAAGCCATGTCCCCGGGCATCATTTGAGGCCCTACCAAATATCTCTGACCTGTGTCTGAGGGATGTGCCCACGGTTCCCACCCTGGCTGACATCGCCTGGATTGCTGCGGATGAAGAGGAGACCTATGCCCGGGTCAGGAGCGATACACGACCCCTGAGGCATACCTGGAAGCCCAGCCCTCTGATTGTTATGCAGCGCTTTGCATCAGTGCCCAACCTGCGTGGGTCTGAGGAGAGACTCCTGGCTCTGAAGAAACCAGGTCTCCCAGCCCTGAGTCGCACGACAGAGCTGTAGGATGAGCTGAGCCACCTGCTCAGTCAGATTGCCAAGATCATGGCAGCTGATGCAGCTTCGGCTTCATTGACGCCAGATTTCTTACCTCCAGGAAGTTCAAATATCTCTTCTCCCTTACCTTGTTTTGGATACTCATTCCACTCTACAACTTCCTTTGTCATTAGTGACATCAAGGAGGAGACTGAGGTAGAAGTCCCTGAGCTTCCATCAGTCCCCCTGCTTTGTTCTGCCAGCCCTGAATGTTGCAAAACAGAAAACAAAGCCACGTGCAGGTCGTCTGAAGAGGATGACTGCATCTCTGTCCAAGGCCAACAGCTTTGCAGACATAATGGGTATCATGAAGGATTTTCACCGGATGAAACAGAGCCAAGATTTGAACCGGAGTTTATTGAAGGAGGGAGACCCTGCCGTCCTTATCTCTGAGGTCCTGAGGAGCAAGTTTGCCCTGAAGGAAGAAGACATCACTAGAAAAGGACACTGATAACCTCCAGCTCTGTGGACTCAGTTTCATGCTCCTGAAATCCCTTCAGTAGCTGCCTTCCTCACTGCAGATGTTTCTGCCTCTCAGAAATCTTCTGGAACAGTCTTGCCAACAAGCTAGAGCATGGACTGAGAAAACAGGAGTTGGGTTGTTTCCTACACTTCAAACCTTAGCAGAAGCTAAGGTCTTATTTTGAGCTGATATACTTATTACAGGTAATTATGTAGCTTGGAGTGTCTCAGTTTAAAGGGTGAAATATAAGTGTCTGGTTCTTCCTTAAAAAAAAAGAATAATGCTCATTTATTTGACTGCATATGGGGGAAATATAATTTTATATGTTGTGTTATTGTTGTATTTTGGTACCATTGAGTCAAGTGTGACTCACAGCCACCCTTAAGAACAACAGATGTGAATCTTGCCCTAGCCTGCACCATAGTCATAATCTCTATCACATCCACTGTGGTAGCCATTATGCCAGTCCATCTTGTTGAGGGACTTGCTCTTTTTCTCTGACCCTCTACCCTTCCCAGTGTGGTATCTCCCTCCAAGGATTAGTTATCTTTATGTATCACATTTCATTGTTGTTGTTGTTGTTATGTGCCATCGAGTCGTCTGCGACTCATAGCGACCCTATGTACAACAGCCCTAAACTCCGCTCTGTCCTGTGCCAGTCGCACTGTCTCTGACACTCCCATCCCAATTATCCCAGTCACTGAATCAATCCACCTCATAGAGGGCCTTCCTCTCCTGCGCCGTCCCTCCACCCTCCCAAGCATGATGTCCCTCTCCAAGGACCGGTCTCTCCTCACTACATGTCCAAAGTAAGTTAGACGGAGCCTCAGAATCCTTACCCCCAAGGAGCCACCCGGTTTAACCCTCTCCAGGACAAATATATTTGTTTTCCTAGCAGTCCATGGTAGTCTCAGTACTCTTCTCCAGCACAACAGCTCAAAGGCATCAGTTCTCCTTCTATCCTCCTTGGTCATTGTCCAACTCTCCAATGCATAACAGGTGATTGCGAAGACCATGGCCTGTATCAGACGCACCTTAGTCTCCAGAGAGACACCACTGCTCTTCAGCACTTTGGAGAGGTCCCTAACAGCAGACTTTCCCATGGCAATGCGCCTTTTAATTTCCTGGCTGCTGGTGCCAAGACTGTTGACTATGGAGCCAAGCAAACTAAAGCTGTGTACAATCTCAATCTCTTCACCATCCATCCTGATGCTGCCGATTGGTCCAGTGGTGAGAATCTTTGTCTTCTTGACATTGAGCCTCAATCCATATTGTAGGCTGCAGTCCTTGACACTCTGCAGCAGGCGCTTCAGGTCCTCCTCAGTTTCAGCAAGCAGGGTTGTGTCATCCACATAACGCAGATTGTTGAGAAATCGTCCACCAATCCTGACCCCACATTTCTCCTCATAGAGCCCAGAGGAATGTCTATCTGTGTTTCATTGACTATGCAAAGGCATTTGACTGTGTAGATCATAACAAACTGTGGCTGACTCTGAGAAGAATGGGAATCCCAGAACACTTGATCATTCTAATGCGAAACTTATACTTGGACCAGGAGGCAGTCGTCAGAACAGAGCAAGGGAACGCTGCATGGTTCAAAATTGGGAAGGGCGTACGCCAGGGATGCATCCTATCTCCATACCTTTTCAACCTATATGCAGAACAGATTATCCGGGAGGCTGGGCTCTATGAGGAGAAATGTGGGGTCAGGATTGGTGGACGATTTATCAACAATCTGCGTTATGCGGATGACACAACCCTGCCAACCTGCTTCATTGTTGACAATTTCCAATTGTTCTAGATTCATACTTCTTAAATTCTATGTTCCAGTTATTAATGGATATTTGGAGCTGTTTCTCCTAATTTTGAATTTTGTCATATCAACAAATGAACATCTGTCTCTGGGTAAAAGTTTCACTCTATCCCCATCATTATGGTAGACTTTATCTTCAGCAGGCAACTCTTCCCCAGTCCCATTTCAAATGTCTTCCAACGTGAGTGGCTCATCTTCCCTAACTATATCCCACTATGTTCTGTTGTCCATACATTTTTCAAAAGCTTATTATTTCAGAAGTGTATGGCCTCTTTAGCAGTCTTCACTGACTATATGGAAGCAGGAGTGGCATCTGCTTCATAAATAACACGCCTACAGAAACCCTATGAACTTTGATAAATGTCAATAGTTGTAGAGGGGCTACAAGCCTTTTGTTCATAGGGTCACTATGAGTCGTGCTCAACTCGAAGGCAATAAACAACAACAATTATATCTGAATAATAAAATTTCCCAAGACATTTAAGCTAACAATGCTAGGTAGCTTAAAATGACCCAGAGCTGTCTAACTCCAGAATTCATTCTTTCCTTAATGAAGTCAACTGTAGCAAAAGTCCTCTAACCACATAATCTTTGCTCAAGAAGACACTGCATATAGAAAACTCACTCACTAATTGCCATTGAGTCAGAATTCATTCATAGCTGACCTTTCATTGAGATTGTACAGAAGGAGATCATCCCTCTTTTCCCCATGTAGCAGCTTGTGGATTTAAACCACTTGCCTTTGAGTCGGCAGTGCAATGGGTTTCACATCCAATGATTGGCTTGGAAAACTAAAATTCTTCTGTATTACCGGAGAACTTTTTTGGACACTGAGTAAAACTTACTTTTGTAATTTAAAAAAATTTTCTATATAAAGTTGAGAAATTTTTCTCAAAACTTTTAGTAAGACATTCAAAGCTTAAGTAATTGTATGGGTTTTGTATATACTAACACTTAGCTAATACTATTAGAAATTTCCTTGAAGAGTACAGATTTATGAATTCTGAACACAGAGGCAGGTCTCTGAATGCTAACTTGAAAATTCTTACTCAATAGAGTAGAAAATGAGTAAGAAGGGAAGTTAAAGTGCAATTTGGTTATTTAACAGAGATATCGTTTCTTTTTTAGGGAGGCCAAAGAAAAGAAGAAAAAGAAGAAAGAAAAGAAAAGGTAAGTTAAAACGTTTGGCACAAATGACTTCACGTTTTTCTGCCTTTAGTACTTCTTGGTAGTAATAACACAACTCGCTTTTTCAGCAAGGCAGATGATAAAAATGAAAATAAAAAGGGCTCAGAGAAGAAAAAGAAGAAAGAGAAAGAGAAGAAAAAGAAAGAAGACGACAAAGGAAAAGACAAGAAAGAAGAGTAAGTATTATTGCTGATCTTGAAATTAGAATTATGATTGGATGTTATATTGTTGTTGTTATGTGCCATCGAGTCGCTTGCAACTCATAACAGCCCTAAACTCTGCTCTGTCCTGTGCCAGTGGCACTGCCTCTGAAACACCCATCCCGATTACCCCAGTTACTGAATCAATCCACCTCATAAAGGGCCTTCCCCTCCTGTGCTGTCCCTCCACCCTACCAAGCATGACGTCCTCCAAGGACCAGT